AGAAGAGTTCATGGTAAGTAAAGTAGAACTAGAATTTATCTTCTCATTTTCACTATACCTTTTCAGTTTCTTATGTTTGCTTATTAGGACATTTGGCGCGAGGTGTACTGCACCATGTTAGTGGCGTGCATGAGTGGGACCTGGGTAGATGCCTTCATGGTCCTTTGGGGGATGATGGCACTAAAGAGCCTGTACCAACTGGCTCTAAAGCACATGTGGCACTGTCACAGATCGTGCTGAACCGCAGATGGCTGAAGGATGTGGAGAAGTTCCTCACATTTCGGTAAGAGATCAGTTTTTGTTTTTTTGAATGATTTGTGTTTCTTCTATTTCCTACTTACTTTCCCTGTAGGACCACCTCACAGCTGGAATCATTCCAAAACCATATTCTGATGTATGCCGGAAAGCGGTTTGCTTTTTCATTTTTTGTTTATGAAGCAAGAACACTTCTCGCAGCTTTGGACTACAATCACCACAACAACCGTCCGGCACATGTGTACAGCAAAGGCCAAGTGTCGTAAGTATCATTCACTACTTCCTATTGACAAGTCATAAATATAGTTGTCTTCTAACGTGAAATTACTTATCTTGTAGCCTAAAGAGACTGTACAGCAAAAAATCGAAACGGTATCGGGTACACACTGTCAAAGAAGCAAAGGATTACAACTACATTCCTGACCTTCAGACACAAATCATTGGCAGACGACTTCAGTCTGCTGGTGGCCTCCCAACCAGACGGAGTATCATACCGGAGGACCCACGAGCACTTTGACCAGTATATACACAAACGGTTGTTGGTGTTATCATCACTCTCTTTACACAACCAAAACATATATGTGATATATATATCACATATATATGTGATTGCTCCGTGTGTGATAACTTTCTGTAAAGCATGGAACTGCTGCAGGAGCAGGGACGAGGCGCACAGAGCAGACTGCTTCGAAAGAACCGAAGGAAAAGCAGTTTGGGCTCATGGCAGAGCCTGATATACAGGAGACTGTGGAATATCTAACATATATCATTTGTTTTGCACTGTTCCTGTCTTTGTTTGAGCGCTAAGACTTTCACTTTTATTACTGTACTTTTTCATCTCATTTGTCACTGTTGTCTTTCTGTTCATTATTTTTTTTTTTTTTTATTAAGTCCATTGCTTAATAATGTTATTGAGTGAATCTAGACCTCCTTTAAACACATTTGAGCAAAAATCATGTGATATTGTTTTATATATATTGATTATTCTTTTTTTGCTTACAGCGTGTTGCAGTCCGACAACAAGAAATAGTCAATTCTGCCCCACCTGTGGAAAATGTCGAAGCGCGCTGGCCAGCACTTTATACAGAGAGACAGGTGTGTACACATTTTTTACATCTATGCATTTAACTTGAAGTGTTTTATGTTGTTTTTTTTGCAGGTCCTGGCAGAATTTAACCAGATCACCAGCTCCAAACTGGGCAATGATTTCGTTGAAGCATTGGATTGCCTAACGACACAGTTCATCAAGCTCTTTAAGGCCAAAAGGGGGTCTGCTGGCGCTAAGCTTTCCAAGATTGTCCGGCACCTCGATTCCTGTGTAAGTTCATAAAGCAATAACAAAAAGAAATGACATATGATTGTGTTTGGTGTTGAAATGCACATATGTACAGCAGAGGAGATGGAGAAAGGAGAAAGGTACACATCAAAAGAGGTACTGCTGCATTTTGTATCCTAAGATTTTTGGTACAATTGTAGATTGTCATTTTACATTTTTCACGTGTTTGTAGATGGTGGAACTGCAGGAAAAGCCTGGTGACCGAGAGATCCTTAAAGATTATAATTCTGTGAGATCACTAAGTCACCGCTCTCGAAGACAACTTGTCGACCTTCTCGTCAGTGACATGAGTGAAACACATGGGTATGTTGTATCCCTCAGTTAATACTCAAAAGTTCCTTCTTACAAGTGGAAGGATATTTACTCAAAATAAAATGAAAATCACTTGAAAGACCTTTCACAATAATCACATAACAATTCAGTTTCTCTCAGCACTGTTATTGATTCCCCATTGTAAGATAAATAGTACTGATCTCTTTTATAAATGACCTAGGTAGATGTTCTCCTGTAGATTATCTCTTGGTTAGGTCCCTGTGAAAATATGTACTTGTAGATACTATTAATTTAGCCTTTTTATGTAACCATGAAGTCCTTTGACCATGAGTGTTTTTTTCTCCTTAGACAAATGCCTTCCCGAAAACAAAAAGAAAGCTATGCTCTTAGAATTATCACACTTTTTTCATTGAAGGATCCATTTTCTCAAAAAGGTTATGTAAGTATTGTTAATGTATCCATGGAAATTGAATTTGGTATACCTACATGTTTTGTGTCGGTAATGGATATGTATAGATAACAATCATAACTGTACACTTTGTTTTCAGACTAATCTCGCCTCGTAATGAGACGGTGACCTCCTATTTGCTTAACACAATATCTGCAATACAATGTGAACAATAAGTCCACATTTCTACGATGTTGATAAAGACGACATTGTGTGTAAGTGTTTTACTGTTTCTCCCTTTAACCTGGTTTTAAACATTGTCAGAGAGGAGCTTTAGCTGTGCTACAACTGAGGTATTTTATATTTATCTTTGTTAATGTACTGTGATTATTTATTTTAATGCTTTCTTATTTTGCTCAGCACTTCGAGTTGCATTGTGTATGAATTGTGCTAGACAAATAAACTTGCCTTACACTGCATGAAAAGTTAGATTTTCGTCACACTAAACGGCAGGAAATCACGCTCTTTTTCGGGTATCTCAGGCAGTTTTCAAAAGGCGCAGTTAGGGTGCCCTGTCCTCCAAACTGCCGCATCCGTACCATGCTAATGTCCCTACTTTGCATATGAATGCAGCAAAACACTGCGGCCGGCCGAGCACTAATGGCCCTAATTAGGATATGAATGCAGCGGCTGGCCAGGCTGCTATTCAGCATTGGTGGATACCACTACTTTCAAACTCGTGATTGGCTGAAAAATCACATGTGGCCAGCCCACGTGGGATTACTCCCCATTGGATGAAATCACTACTTTCAAATAAGTATAATCTCTCGGGATTGGCTAGCAGATCTGTCACTATTGGTCACCCTGCCTCATAATTAATTAAATAATATTCATATAAATATATATTTATTCATATTATTTATAGAGGAAATGAAAATTTTCCAGGAATATGTTCATACAAAGAAAGCTTTATTAAAACACACACACACAGCTTTATGCTCACACATAGGTAATTAAAAAATTACAACTCTGAACTGTCCAAATAGCCTCCTCTGGGTTGTAATTTGGCAGGGTTCTAGATAGACGCTTAATGTGCGTGGCTCTGTACTTCCGTGCCGTCTCTAACCAGGACTGCAGCTTGACACAGAGTTCAGAAAACTCCGGCTTTCGAAAAGACAATCCACCCAGAGACACCGTCTACAACGCCTTCTTCATTAGACATTAGGTCTACCGTGGCGGACTTCCAGAGTTCCACCTTGTCACTTTCTAGCACACTCAGTCTCGATTCCACCAGCTGAAAGAATCAGTAAATATTATTAGCCACATCAAATCTTTTTTCCCATCTAAACATTGCCAGGATCAAAAACAGTGTCTAAAGCAGACCTGGAGATTCTTATCCATGCATTTGTCTCCAGTAGGTTAGACTACTGTAACATTAGCTGCAGTACATTCAAAATGCAGCAGCTCAAGTCCTAACCAGAACCAGGAAGTACGATGGCAAGGCAAGTTTATTTGTCTAGCACAATTCATACACAAGGCAACTTGAAGTGCTGAGCAAAATAAGAAAGCATTAAAATAAATAATCACAGTACATTAAAAAAGATAAATATAAAATCCCTCAGTTGTAGCACAGCTAAACAGAAGTGTTTTTAACCTGGTTTTAAACCTTGTCAGAGAAGAGGCCTGTCTCACTTTAGCTGTGCTACAACTGAGGGAATTTATATTTATCTTTGTTAATGTACTGTGATTATTTAATGCTTTCTTTTGCTCAGCACTTTGAGTTTCCTTGTGTATGAATTGTGCTACACAAATAAACCTCCCTTGCCTTACTGTGCGATGCAGTTTAGTCTTACCCTTTTTCTTCTCGCTCGACTGAGCTGAACTCTTCGCCACATCCGCCCTCAATGAGTTTTCTGGCTTGGCATTTTGATGGCTCCTGCGAACCGTCTCATAATAAGTCTTACAGGCCGCTAGAAAACAATCAAAAGAGTGGTATGAATAAAAATCAAACGCAAGTCACAGTAACGTCAAACAAGGAAGAAACAGTAAAACACTTACACACAATGTCGTCTTTATCAACATGGTGGAAATGTGGACTTGCAGATATTGTACCACCCCCCCACCCCCCCCCCTTAAGCAAATAGGAGGTCACCGTCTCATTACGAGGCGAGATTAGTCTGAAAACAAAGTGTACAGTTATGATTGGTATCTATACATATCCATTACCGACACAAAACATGTGTAGATAAACCAAATTCAATTTCCATGGATACATTAACAATACTTACATAACCTTTTTGAGAAAATGGATCCTTCAATGAAGAAAGTGTGATAATTCTAAGAGCATAGCTTTCTTTTTGTTTTCGGGAAGGCATTTGTCTAAGGAAAGAAAAACAGTCATGGTCAAGGGACTTCATGGTTACATAAAAAGGCTAAATTAATAGTATCTACAAGTACATATTTTCACGGGGACCTAACCAAGAGATAATCTACAGGAGAACATCTACCTAGGTCATTTATAAAAGAGATCAGTACTATTTATCTTACAATGGGGAATCAATAACAGTGCTGCTAGCTGGGATTGTGTGCGGGACAGTCTACAGCGGGCCGGGACGGGGTCAGAGGGAGACCGGGGAAAGACTGTGATACAACGATACAACCGCTGAGTGATAAAGGGACGTATGATAACTCCGCTCAGCGGCTGCGCGTCCTGTCTTGTTGTGGTCTAAAGCCAGATCTGTCTTCCAGCTACCCACACATGATCCCGACAGCACACCCACCCGCGGAGATGTCAGCGGCCCGGACCGGGAAACGTGTTTGTAAAAAGGGACGTTCCCTGGTTTTCTCCTTGCCGTGGGTGTTCATGTGGTGATTTGCTGTGTCGTGTCTACAGCTCCTGCCCGTGGTGTGACAGCGGTGGTCGGAGGTGGTTCTGGTCCAGCTGGGGACAAGATCTGGACAGTGGGCTGTGGCAACCAAGGGGCTGCGCCGCATCGCAAGGTACTGCGTGGCCGCAAGAGGGCAGCATTGGGCAAGCAACAATGGACGCCCTCTGAGCTGCCCTCTAGTAGACTATTTTTTAGTGTAACATTTTATTGGGTTTTAGGATTAGGGCAGCCTTTGTTCGCTTTCTACAATTATCTTTTTAACACATTTTTTGTACAATAAACTTTTTTTAAAATTACCTTTTAGTCTTGGGTCATTTCTCAGTAGTGGAGGGTTTTATCCTGACATTTGCTTGCCCTTTTAGCAAATCTTGTTTTAATAAAAAAGGAACAGAATTTAAAATAAATCCCACTCTGTTCAAGTAAGTGTGTTCATTTCATTAATTTAGAAGTTTTGAGAATTGAGCTGATTTGAAAAGGGGTAGTGATATGGAAGTCACTGGCAGAATCATTGTGTAAGGCATTTGAAGCAAAACGAGGAAGTGTGGAAGATAATCTGCTCATTAGAATTTTTAATGAACTTTAATTTAATATTTTCTGAAAACTAGTATAGTAGTATCTAAACTTATTTTCTTATACATAATTTTAAAAACCAACCAGCCAACAACCCGTGTACCAAGACATTTATGCGGATGTTGGCCGTTTAGTTACACAATTCATTGCCTGAATTTCATAGAGAGAAATTATTCAAATGTAAATTTTCAGAGCAAAATATAAATACTTAACACAACGAAATGTCAAGTTAATTTGAAATTAGAATTCTGATGGAACAGATAATCAGCCATAGTAGGACAGGGAGAAAACCAGGATACTTGAATTATACTAACATAAAGGAATTAGTAGGTTTGTCTGTTTTGCACAACATCATAAACGACAACTCAACAAAAACATTTCAATATTGTGCACTTACCCATTTAAAGCTTTGTAAAGTTTGGTAAATAAATTGTTCTATTGATGTGACCAACACCAAGAGTCTCTGTCCAGATATGGTCAGTGGAAAAAGCTGGGCTGAGTTTTTGAAAGCCAGTGGGTGTGACTTATGAGAAAACAAAACTCCAGGAAGTAACAATGCAACCCTTTGTGTGCTAGAAAAAACAATGACAGCTTTTGAGTATGTTACATATACAGTACAACATAGTCCTCCATAATTATGAATTATATAATAATAATAGATTTTATTTATAACGCACCTTACATATGCGAAGCACATCTCAAGGTGCTACACCAAGTTAAAACAAAGGAAAAATATCAGAATAAAAATACATAGACAAATATTAAAATGCATTAAAAAACCATGAGCTGCAGATCAGCTGCAGGCCTTCCTGAATAGCTCTGTTTTCAGGTGCTTTTTGAAGCACTCCACAGACTGTGGCGCCCGCAGGTCTTGGGGCAAAGCGTTCCACAGGTGTGATTCTGCGGCTGAAAAAGTCCTGTCTCCCATGGAGTGAAGGTGTGTGATTGGCTGACTGAGACGGTAGGTGTTTTATACTCAATACGGAGGTGTATGGAGAGCCATGTAGTTTACGGAGGTGATGTGGTCGAACTTGCGTGTCCTCGTCAAGACCCTGGCAGCGCTGTTTTGAATATGCTGAAGCTTTTGAAGGCTTCTGCCAGGGATCCCGACGAGGAGGGCATTACAATAGTCCAACCTGGAGGAGATAAAGGCGTGGACCATCTTCTCAGCATTACAGAGGGAAAGAGAAGGGCGGAGTTTGGCAATGTTTCTTAAGTGAAAGTAAGCAGTTTTGAAGATATGTTGGATGTGTGGATGGAAAGTATTATATATAATACTTACAATAAAATATTATATATAATTATAAATAAAATAGCAGGATAAAAAAAACAATAGACATTATATTATATATATATATATATATATATATATATATATATATATATATATATATATATACATATATATATTTGTGTATATACATATGTATATACATGGTACAAATGACACTTCACTTCGCCAAACTGAAACCAAACTCCATTTTAAGGACCTTTTTAACCTTTTATTGAAATCCGGCAAAAGTGTTTTTATCTCTGGCCCTCTGCCCACTTTGAACCGAGGCGTGGAACGTTTTAGCAGGATATTATCACTCAACACTTGGCTTCAAAACTAAACACAACAGCACAACTTTGGTTTTATTGACAATTTTAATCTGTTCTGGAACCGCCACCCCTTCTTCACACCCAATGAACTCCATATCAACAAACTCGGCACCCGGTACCTGATTTCAAACATCACCCACTCAGTCCTATCCCGTCCCTCGCACCTCTGACAATGTACAACCCGAAAATTTTAACAGTAATAATTTATAGGCCACCTAAAAAGTGCAGCCTTTTTATTCATGAATTCTCAGCGTTTTTATCACAGTTACTCAATTCTTACAACATGATCATTTTAACCGGTGATTTTAGGTATTAGTATTAGATAGCAATATGGCCTCTTTGTGACACGTATGTCTTTCGATGTGTGACGTGACAATGACTATATAAACTGTGTACTGCCTTTATTCTGTCTGAGAGAAAGAAACAGAGTAAACCAGTGGAACTTGAGAGAAACTTAAAGAAACTTCCAGAGTTTGGCACACCACGATCCGTCTCTGTCTGCTAAATCCTAACAGATTTGGTGGAGAATGCGCGGCTCGGTTTGTGCCATTCTCTGGATTGTTTTGAGGGAGTTTGCTATGTTTCTTTTCCTCTGCGTGAGAGATCGGCATGCTGTGTCTGGGAGCGGAGATTCCAGCAGGCTGGAAGAGCTGTTCCTGGATGCTTCTTGTCGCTTCTGTCACTTTTGTTTTTTAAATTGAATTTTTGACGCGGAAAAGATGTTGGTCGACCTCTCGAACAGTCCGGACAAAGAAATAAGGTAAGCAGACACCTTTTTTAATATGTAAAGTCTGCATAATTGGATACTAGCTAAATTTTGAGCTGTCCCGGAGGTCTGTCCAAATCTCTCTAAATCAAATTTTCTTTGTTATGTCTTTGTCACGTCTTTGTCATGTCTTATGTTGTAGAAAACAGGTTAGCTGTGTGGGTAACCAGTCCCTATAGGAAAAAGGAACCCCTGACGTATCGGGGTCCCTGTCCTTTGAAGTAGTCAGGACAGAGAGAAAAAGGAACCCCTGACGTATCGGGGTCCCTGTCCTTTGAAGTAGTCAGGACAGAGAGAAAGGAACCCCTGACGTATCGGGGTCCCTGTCCTTTGAAGTAGTCAGGACAGAGAGAAAGGAACCCCTGACGTATCGGGGTCCCTGCCTTTGGAGTAGCCGGGGCAGAGAATAGAGAATAGAAAATAGTTAGTGAAACCATGGTGTAGAATTAAAAGTAATTATAAAAAGGGAAACGTTAAACACTAAAGAGTGCCTTTTGTTACTAGTGTGGAAAGTGATCACTTCTAGATTTGGATGACAAAAGTATAAAGAACAACATCAGTTATATTCGCTTAACAAAGTAATCTTGAAAGTTATTCTTCTGTATCTTTTTGCCTGTGTGTGTGCGTCGCTCTATCTGCTGCCGTTGTCAGGGAAACGGCCCCCTCCTTCGCTGCTCTGGCTGTGAATCTGAAGCAAAGCTACTGCTTTAGGAATTTGGCTTTTCATAGTTGTTATTCCGTTAAATTTGCGAAATTTGCCATTTGAACATTGTGTTAGACACAGTTAAACGTTTTTAAACACCATTTAGTAAATATAAGTTTTGAATTAGTATGTTTTTGAAACCCAAAGATTAGTACAAAAAGCTTTGCTTTTCTTTTAAATCTGCTGCTTATTTTGTGAGTCCATTATTGTATCTCTGATATATTTCATAGCTGTTTGTGAGAATTTTTTTTTTATGTTTTTATTTTAGTTACAAAAGCCGTTTTTCAAACATTTAAATTAGAATCCGTGTTAAAAATGATTATTGATTATAGACTTCGTCTAAAAAGAAAGAGAGAATTAGGCTGTAAAAGTATTATATTATTAAGTTAAACTACCCAATTCACCCAATTCACATTCAAGCGGTGACTTTTGTTTTTGTTTTGACTACACGCGTGACCTTGCTGCTGCTCAGAGACATGAGGAGGCAGCTCCGACGCACAATTGAGTTTTATTGAACCAAATCCAGTTTAGCTGGAGCTAAATCTTTTGTTTGATTTCAAGTTTTGTTTTAAATGTTTTTACAAATTAATGTTCATTTTTATAGAGATTTTTCATAATTTCATTTCATGGCGTCTTTCAAGAAACCCAAGGACGCATAGATAATTAATCACACAGTACAAAAGTATATAATACATGTTTTAAAGTTTAAAAGGTTGTTTGTTTTGAGTATAATTGTTGTTTTGATAACTTCTTTAGTTTCTGGTTTTAAAATGTCATCATTAGTAAGAGAATAAGTAATCTTTATTTACATAGCGCTTGGGAAAACCCAGAGCGCTCAAATTGTTTTGACTTCAGAGAGAAAAACAATCTCATTCGCATACTGATATCTATTGTTTTTTTTTAAATTGGCCGTTTCAAGGATTGTTTTTCAGACTCTACCTCACTGTACGAGAGGTCACTGCTGGACACTGGACAGCGCAAAGCCCACCCAGCCACAGGTCACAGATCAAAGAGCAAAGGGAAATGCCACCTCCTTGCCCCTCCCCCCACTACAGAAGTGGGAGTGAGACCGGGGCCATGAAAGAGAGGTATCTGGAGACGTGATGGGTGGAGCGTCAGGGAGAGACCTGAATGAGAGTTGAAAGTGTGTCCAGTTGGTTTGCATCACCACAGTGTGACCTTTGACACCTACAGGTGGTTCGTGGAGTCTTGAGACACAACCCCAAAATTCACATACACACACACACACACATACACATTCATACACTCACACATTCACATTTACATATAGATACATGAAAAAGTAGAACATGAGGAAAAAGCATTAAAAGTTTACTCCAATGTAAACACATATTTTTAATTGTCTATCACTTGAATCTTTAGTTGAATCAGTATTTTTTGAGACCAGAAATGTTCATTTGAATTCTATATTGTCATGGACTTAATTGACGTCTGTCCTGACACT